GCTGCATGAGAGTTACATTCCGGCTTGTCTTCTGGCCTTTGCAATTAATTGCCGTCTAAAATGTCACTGGACTAAAAGGAGACACCACCAGATAAGCTGGAAAGACGACCCTACACACACACACATATATATATGAGCTTCAGATTCTTGCCTCCCTTCTGGCTGGACGCTCTGAGGACACCGAGGTTGGGGGGTGGGCGGGGAGGGGAGGCAGGAGAAAAGTCACTGTCCTTGTCTTCTGAGCAATTATGGCACCGACACTGTTTGTGCACTGGACGCGTCTCCAGAGAGCCCCAAAGGCTCACGTGGCTGGAGAGAGGAATGACAAAAGGCGGCAAAGCTTGGCCGTCTCTTCCAGGCTCGAGACGCCAAACACCAACACACAAGCAGCAGCAGCAGCAGCAGCCCTTGTTTCGTGGTATCTTCTGCTCTGGGGTTTGGAGAAAATGGCGCGCGAGATTGGGGAGTTTCTGCTCCAGGGAGACCAAATGAGGAAGAGGAGGAGAGGCAAACTCTGCTACTGGCCAAACTTATTCAGGGCTGAAGCACTGCCCTTCCTAAAGCCGAGGGTGACTTAAAACTCTGGATTGCTTCATGCTACTGCATCGTTCAACGGGACTAATTTAATAACTCCCCCTAGGGCCTGCTACTAAAAAAAAAGAGAGAGAGAGAGAAAAAGAGAGAGAACAGCACGTTCTTGAGTGAGGGATGATGGATCTTAAAACTAACCGGCCACATGTTCTTGAAATGTTAATTTCCCCGTTTCTTCCATTTCCCTTTCCCCAACTCTCAAGATTCAGCGGTGAGAACAGACGAAAAAACTTTACGTGTGGTGAAAACTTAAAAGGCTAAAAGATCTCTCACTGCTTTTTGTCTTCCTTTTTTAAAGAAAAAAAGGATGCAAGGGTGTTCTGGAAATATTCTTGGTTTTACAGCAGGAAAATGTCAGAAGAAACGTCTAAGCCATCTGCTTAGGTCTCGTGTCACCTGAGAGAGGGAGGGAGGGAGGGAGGGAGAGAGAGAGAGAAGGGAAAGAGAGAGAGAGAGGGGGGGAGGGAGAAGGAGAGTGGAAGGGAGGGAGAGAGGGAGAGAGAGAGAGGGAGAGGGGAAGGGAGAGAGAGAGAGGAGAGTGGAAGGGAGAGAGAGAGAGAGGAGGAGAGTGGAAGGGAGGGAGAGAGAGAGGGAGAGAGAGAGAGGGGAAGGGAGAGAGAGAGAGGAGAGTGGAAGGGAGAGAGAGAGAGAGNCATTATATTGCTGATGTTTATACACACAGAGGCATAATATAATTATGGCAAATCCAAATATCCCCCACCCCTCAGCAAAGAACAATCTCAAAGCAGGGCATGAAAAGAAGCTAACTGGGAAGTATGCAAGTCTCATATGTACTAAAGAAAGTCAATTGAGAGAAAACAATTTAAATTTTTTTTGAATTGTGACAATTCTCTTTTATGGACAGGTTCTGGATAGCACCGTTATGGGGATCAATGCATTGCACTCGTATATAAACAGAGCAAACCCTCCACTCTCTTTTAGCACTGATGATGTTACCTAGTTGGGTAATGAAATGTCTGGAAGGAAACAACCAAACTCAGAGAGCACCAAGAATTCCACAGTTCAACCCTGAACTACCAATATTCTCTTTTATCGGTAATACACTGCGTCTTCCCAATATTCCGAGTAGGTGAGCGGGACGGAGCAATAAAGCCTAGTGAGCATTACCTGGCTGAGTAGATACAATATGCAAATGGAGGTCCAAATTGGGCTTATGTGGTCCTGTTGGATGTTCCATCCTTTCTCAACTTGGTCCCCCCCTGCGGATGGGTTGGACTGCAACATTCATCCCTCTCGTGCAAATAATGGGAGTTGTAGTCCAAGCACTTTTAGGGATATTAGTACATAGAGTAACAGGGTTGGAAGGGACTTTAAGAGGTCTTCTACTCCACCCCCTCGTTCAAGAAGGAGACCTTACACCACGGGTCTTCAAACTTGGCCCTTTTATGACTTGTGGACTTCAACTCCCAGAATTCCTCAGCCAGGCACGCATCCACAAGTCCACAATTCATAAAAGGGCCAAGTTTGAAGACCCCTGGCATACAATTTTGTTTTACATCAGGTTCTGCTTTAACTTTATATTCTTCTCATTGGTTGATAATTCCTGCTGTCTCCTGAATGATTCTGAATGGCTTTCGCTTCGAATCAGAAAAAAAACAACACCTTTTATAATAGATGTAGGTGGCCTGTCTGAGGTGGGAGGGGTGATACAGGCTGTAGGCTGGTGAAGATAGACTACAGCTCCCAGGATTCCCAGCCCATGGCTGAACTGCTTGAAGACCCTTTGGTTGTAATTCAACCAGCTGGAGAGGGCTTTGCATTGAAGAACCTAACAGAACAGTATTTCTCAATCTTGGGCACTTTTGAGGTGGGTGGACTTCAACTCCCAGAATTCCCCAGCCAGCATAGGGAGTTGAGGTCCACCCGTCTTAAAGTGGCCAAGGTTGAAAAACATTGCCCTACTTCAGGGGTCTTCAAACTTGGCTCTTTTATGACTTGTGGACTTCAACTCCCAGAATTCCTCAGCCAGGCACACGTGCCTGGCTGAGGAATTCTGGGAGTTGAAGTCCATGTGTCATAAAAGGGCCAAGTTTGAAGACCCCTGCCTTATACCATTCAGGACAAATGGCCACCCATCACCATTCAATGGGAGAACTCACAACTTCTGGGGGCAAGTTATTCCACACTGATTAATTCTTCGGTCATTATCATTCAGGACTACGACATTCCCTGACCGAGAAGAGGCCGACTCCCTTCTCTGTTACTGTCAGTTTCTAAAACAAATCCAGAATTTCAAGAAGGGATTTTTTTTCCCATCTTTGGATGACGGACGAAACTCAGCTCTCCCAGGAATCCTACCTTGCTGTGGGCTTAATTTGCATTCCTCTGACGCACGTTCTTGTCCATGTTATTTGCAGTGTTGCCTTTGCTGGGAGGCGAAAGGAAAAGTCGGTCAGGTTCCAGATCCTTAAGGAAGATCCGTGTCAAAACTCCCATCTAGACTAGCAAGTAGGTAGAGTCTAGGGCAGTGTTTCTCAACCTTGACAATTTTAAGGCATGTGGACTTCAACTCCCAGAATTCCACAGCCAGCAATGCTGGCTGTGGAATTCTGGGAGTTGAAGTCCACATGCCTTAAAATGGTCAAGGTTGAGAAACACTGCTCTAGGGCCTATCTAGGATGATACTTGACGGACACAAACTGCCCAGTCAGAAAGCTCTCCCTCTCACAGGCCCATCTGATCGGCGACAGCAGGCAGCCCCATATTCCTCAAAGCTTTCAACCGTGACAACTTGGAAGACGTGTGGACTTCGGCTGCCAGAATTTCCCAGCCAGCTGCGCACTACGCTGAGATTTCAAGACAGACCATTTTAACCAACCGTGCCAGCTTGAAGTGGTGTGGACATCAATTCCCAGAATTCCCCAGCCAGCGTGACTGGCTAAGGGATTCTGGGAGTTGGAAGTCTACTGTCAGAGCATGCACAGTCTTATTGCGCTGAGGTAACCCAGGAGTAAATACAGTAGACAGTGGTTTGTATTTAAATGGTGATTTATATTACACTATCTACAAATATACCCTAGGAACAAGATACTGTACATACACGTGGTGATACCGCGAACTCCACCGCGAACTCCAATACACAGCAATTATAGCAGAAAGACTCCAGCAAGGCCTTCCCTTTTATACTCAAGCTCTTAAAGGGATACAGACGCCTGCTGAGTCATTCCTAACGTTGCCTCATTCACCTCACATTATACAAGCTAGTTAGCTTCTAAATCATTACCTAAATCATCTATACATCTTCAAGTTGCCATGATTGACAAACACTGGCTAAGGCAGGGGTCTTCCAACTCGGCCCTTTGATGACTCGTGGACTTCAACTCCCAGAATTCCTCAGCCAGGCACGCGTGCCTGGTTGAGGAATTCTGGGAGTTGAAGTCCACGAGTCATCAAAGGGCCGAGTTGGAAGACCCCTGGGCTAAGGCAATCTGCTCTGGCACAGCCCACCAAGCCCTTGTGTTTCCCAGCCTTTAAAGGACCCACTGACCCGACCGCCCTCGCTTTGGGCCCCGTGGGCTCCTCTTTCCCCCGATCTCGGTTTCCTGTCGCTCCTCTTTCATGATCTGCCAGCCTCAATAAGCAGCATCTGCCTTAACTCTGCTTCTGTCAGGCAGCAGGCAGCCTCCTGAAGAGTCTCCATGCCTGCTCAGGTTAATTACAGTTGGGCACATCTGCTCTCTCCTTCTCACAGACCCATCTGATCAGAGACAGCAGGCAGTCCCATATTCTGGTTGTCTAATTTTCCACCCACAAGCGGCCTCAGGAGGTGCTCTATCAGGAGTGGGGGGAAAAAAAGGTTCTTTATACTTACAGGGGAGCAGAGCCTCCATCGTCATCTTTGAGCAAAGGAAGAGAGAAGAAGAAGAAGAAGAAAGAAGGATTTGGTGAATAGGCAAATCATACTCTTGTCACATTTATTTATGTATTTGTTTGTTTATATTTCCTATTTCTATTATACTCCTATTTATTTCTTTATATTTCCCACCACCCATTTTCCTCAGACAGGGGCGCTGGGCAGTTAACCTCCTTCACCCCCAATTCATTCTATCATCTCATCTATCATCTGTCATCTCGTCTATTATCTGTTTGTCAAAAACAGATGTTTAATGCCACCACCCTCATATGTCTACATTTATTTATTTACACCCCAACTTTATTATGTTTATACATTCTATTTTCCCCACAACGACCCTGTGAGGTGGCTTGGGCTCAGACAGAGGGATTGGCCCAAAGTCTACCAGCTGACTTTCCTACATAAAGTGGGACTAGAACTTGGTGATTGGCCCAGAGTCACCCAGCTGGTTTTTGTGCCTAAGGTGGGACTAGAACTCACGGTCTCCAGAGTTTCTAGCCAGGTGTCTTCACCACTAGACCAACTAGTACTACGGGCAGATCATATACAGAGGACAAGACAACCAGGGTGAAGGGTGGCTTTGGTTTGGTCTTCCACTTACCACAAAGGGTTAACATGCAGCAGCAAGAAAGAATTTAAGTTAATGCCAGCAAGTAGGCCGTATTTACAAGCTTTTAAGCCAGTGTGGCTCAACCTTAGGCACTTACCTTAGGCCAGGGGCTTTCAAACCTGGCCCTTTCATGACTTGTGGACTTCAACTCCCAGAATTCCTCAGCCAGCGTGCCTGGCTGAAGAATTCTGGGAGTTGAAGTCCACAAATCATAAAGGGGCCAGGTTTGAAGACCCTTGCTCTAGAACAGGAGTGGGGAACTGGACCCCTTTATGACCTGTGGACCTCAACTCCCAGAATTCCTCAGCCAGCGTGCCTGGCTAAAGAATTCTGGGAGTTGAAGTCCACAAGTCATAAAAGTTTGAAGACCCCTATCTTAAGCAATTTAAGCTGTCGGGACTTCAACTTCCAGAATTCCCCAGCCAGCATGCTGCTTGGGGAATTCTGGGGGATGAAGTCCAGACAGCTTTAAGTACCCAAGGTTGAGCAACATTGTTTCAGCCAATCAAGAAACCTTCTTATCCTCTAAGGCAGCAGTCCCCAATCTTTCCGGCTTGGCAGCCCAGCCTGGTGTAGGGGTGGTGGGGGAAGAGAGGATAGTTGTGAGTGGCAGGCGTGTGTGTGCTCACCCGCTTGTGTAGCCCGGTTCCGAATAGGCCGCAGCCCGGGGGTTGGGGACCCCTGCTGTAAGACAGAAGTAGGGAACTGTGGCCCCTTTATGACTTGTGGACTTCAACTCCCAGAATTCCTGAGCCAGCCATTCCTGCTGGCTCAGGAAATCTGGGAGTTGAAGTCCACAAGTCATAAAATTCCCCATCCATGCTCTAAAGATTTTTCCCTTTCCCTTTATTCAATTCAAAGCGTTGCTGCAAAGAGCGCGTACAAACGAAGCAGGATTTTAATGAAATCTACCGTAGTGGCCAAAATTGTCCAAACCCTTTTGGGAAAAGTGTACAGTAGAAATGCCACCTTTGGTTAAGTTTCCACCTACTACTCCAAAAAAAAAAAAGTGTTATTAGCCATCAAACCTTAAAAATACACTTTTCCCAAAAGGTTTCCAGAATTTTGGCCACTACTGTATAAGGGTGGAGAAAGTGAGGAATGTCTTGCTGTTTACCAAGAAACGTATATAAAGAACAAGGATTTACATCTCCACAGCAAAGAAAGCATTTTTTTTTAAAAAAAGGAAAGAGGAGTAGGGGGTGGCACAGGAAGAAATGCTGAATTTCTGATTTAGATAGAAGCATGTAGGCATCTCGGGTGTTTAAAGTAAAATATTTTAAATAATGCAAACCTGTGGAGGGAAAAACAGTGACCAGAACACTCCCTAACAGAAGAAATAGATTAAAATGTTAGATGCTGACAGCAGTGAAATGAGAAGGCTGACATTGGCTAAGAGACTTCTCCAGGGACCTAAAACATTCCTGCCAATTGATTTATGCAGCAGAGTTGTTGTTTTATGTCCCCATAGGAGACAAAGAACAAGGGAGAGGGGGGGGAGGCAGATAAAATCTCACTCAGCAATGTTTCCACAGTGCCTAAAACCACTGAAGTTGCGATGATCCGAGTGAGATTAATTTCTTTTTCAGACCAAAGGTGTGGAATCTAACCCAAGCTTAGCATAATTAGGCAACCTAAGTCAGTCGCAAAGCCAAGCCTGGTGATGGGCGAACCTGCAGGAGCCTCTTAAGGCAGGGGTCCCCAATCCCTGGTCTGTGGACCGGCACAGTCATGCTAGAAACTGGTCCAGGATGGAAAATAAGACAATTTTTTTTAGAAATTAAAGTATTATTATAATTAGATAGAGCAGATGTGTAACTAGAATATTAGATTTTGGTATGAAAAGGGAAAAAGGAGGAAAGTGTCAGTTTTAAGCTAGCCATAACAATTCTTAGGTATGGGAACCAAGGTCATTACTGATTACATTTGGGCGGGCTGGAGCCCTGGGAGGAGTGCCCGCCTTTCGTAACAACTGGTGAATGTGATTTATGACATCTAATTGAGGTGGGAATTGCAACTTTGTAACCAGGGGGAGAGGGATTTAGTCTTGGGTTCACCTTTGTACGTGCAGATATTGTGTAGCCAAATAAAAATGGTTCTTTGAGGAAGAATTCTTTCTTTTAACTGGCCACATCTATCGGAACCATGACATCATCATCATCATCATCATCATCATTATTATTATTATTATTATTATTATTATTATCATCATCATCATCATCATTATCATCATCATCATTATTATTATCATCATCATCAACATCCCCCTTGCCGAGGGGTAGGCAACCTTGGCTCTTTTATGACTCGTGGACTTCAACTCCCAGAATTCCTGAGCCAGCCATGCTGAGGAGAAATGGAGAAGTTTCCAAGCTTAGCCATGGTGGCTCAGGAATTCTGGGAGTTGAAGTCCACGAGTCATAAAAGAGCCAAGGTTGCCTACCCTTATCCTAGGATGAAGATTAAGAGCAAGTGTCTTCAAACTTGCCCCTTTTATGACTCGTGGACTTCAACTCCCAGAATTCCTGAGCCAGCCACGCTGAGGGGAAAGGGAGAGGTTTCCAAGCTGAGCCATGCTGGCTCAGGAATTCTGGGAGTTGAAGTCCACAAGTCATAAAAGGGCCAAGATTGCCTACCCCTAGCCCTGCCCTTGCCCATTCCAGCACCTTACCCTCAGGAACCTCATTGGGCTTTCTCCTCTTCTCGTAGATGAAGATTATTGTGACCAGGACCAGCACTTCTGCCACAATCCCCAAGAAGGGCCACAAAGCAGCCAGCCGGCTCCGCACCCTCAAGTTCACCTCAGCGCTCCCTTCGCCTATTTCGTTGGTGCCGTTGCAGACGTAAGTCCCAGGGTCCTTCTCCAGGTCCAAAGAAATGATCTGAAGGTCTGTCCTGGTACCGTTGGATATGATGTAGAACCTTTCCTCGGTGCCGTTGAGGACAGGCTGGAGGAGGAAGAGGGGTGGTTACTAGCTACAGAGGCAGACCCTTTCAGAAAGAGCCAGAGGTAAGTCCTCGGCTTACGACCACAAGCCCAGCCCCAAATTTTCGCTGCAAAGCAAGACAGCGGTCAAGTGAGTCTTGCCCCATTTCTTGCCACTGTTGTTAAATGAGTCGCTGCGGTTGTTCACTTTGTTAACACGGTTGTTAAGTGCATCTGGCTTCCCCCATTGACTTGGCTTGCCGGAAGGTCGCAAAAGGGGATCGCATGAGCCCAGGGACACTGCGACCGTCGTAAATATGAACCAGTTGCCAAGCAACGGATGGAAACTAACCAAAGAGAGAAGCAACCTGGAATTAAACAGAAACTTCCTGACAGTGAGAACAATTAACCAGTGGAACTACCTGCCTCCAGAAGCGGGGGATGCTCCAACACTGGAAGTTTTTAAGAAGAGACTGGACAGCCATTTGTCCGAAATGGTATAGGGTTTCCTGCCTGAGAGGGGGGTGGACTAGATGACCTCCAAGGTCCCTTCCAACTTTATTATTATTATTATTATTATTATTATTATTATTATTATTATTAGTTCATTTAATGATGATTTGAAATCACAACAGCATTGAAAAAAGTGACTTGGAATCCTTTTTTACACTTACACTTTTACACTTTGCAGCCTTCCCGTGGTCATACAATCAAAATTCAGACGCTTGGCATCTGACTCATATTTATGACGTGTCCCTGAGGTCACGTGATCCCCTTTTGTGACCCTCTGACAAGCAAAGTCAATGGGGAAGCCGGACTCACTTAACAATCGAATTACTAATTTAATAACTGCAGTGATTCGCTTAACCACTGTGGCAAGAAAGATCGTACAATGGGGCAAAACTCACTTAACAAATGTCTCACTAAGCAACGGAAACTTTGGGCTCAATTGTGGCTGTAAGTCGAGCACTAGCTGTATTACTAACTAAACCCCTGCTTAGCAACTGTGGCAAGAGATGTCGTAAAATGGGGCCAAATTCACTTAACAACTGATGCTTGGCAATGGAAATGTTGGGAGAAACCTCCTGACAGTTAGAACAATTAACCAGTGGAACAACCTGCCTCCAGAAGCGGTGAATGCGCCAACACTGGAAGTTATTAAGAAGAGACTGGACAGCCATTTGTCCGAAATGGTGTAGGGTTTCCTGCCTGAGCAGGGGGTTGGACTAGATGACTTCCAAGGTCCCTTCCAAGTATTATTATTATTATTATTATTATTATTATTATTATTATTATTATTGGACTACATGCACTCTTGAAAACGACTTATAGTTTCAGAAGGAAGAGCCCACAGCATCAGCTTCCACACAATGTCTGATGCAAATTGGGCACCAAAGCTGAAAATCTGGTTGAGGAAGCTTCCTTTTGACTAATCAGATCACCACCTCGTTAGTGTCTCACCTCTGGAGAGATGGGTAACATATAAATTTGATAAATATATCTTGCCCTCACCCTTCTGGTAGGGCACCAACTGGCACAGGGGTCCAAAAGCAGCATGCAACCATGGGGGTGGTTCGTGACCTGAGGGTGCCCCCCTCCACCTTTTTTTATTTTTAAATGCTTTTTAACTACACTAGTGGCCAAAATTGTGGAAACCTTTTGGGAAAAGTGTACAGTAGAAATGCCACCTTTAGTTAAGTTTCCACCCATTTTTCTTCTAATTTCTTTATAACTGTAGCCTTGTTCACCTAATAATACTATTTTACATTGCTTTCTGGGCAACCAGTCAACTCTTTGCACCATTACTGTAATTTTATTACGTTTTACAAGCTCACTCAACGAAAGAACACAAAAAAACCCCAACCAACTAGATAGCGATCACATAACACATTGACAAATGTCCTCCTCTCAGCTTCAATACATGACATCAATCACTGGATCCTACGGTGATCTGATTGGCTCATTGCCAAAACAAGATGACACCCGATTGGCTCTCTAAACACTCCTGCTCATTGGCTACAATCAGAGGAAGGAAAGCTACCTCATATCGACCTAAGCAAGTTGTGCTTCCTTTTTCTGGTTATTTGGCTATAACTTTTCATAGCACACAGTACAGATAATTGAACAAACTTTGTTGCATTACATTCTTGATTAAATTATCTTTCCATTGATATATACTTTTATGATACTACTCCCAAAAAAGTGGTGTTATTAGCCATCAAACCTCAAAAATACACTTTCCCCAAAAGGTTTCCACAATTTTGGCCACTACTGTATGTCTCTTTGTATATGGCTGTATAGAGTTTATCTATAAACCACCCAGTCACTCAGATGAGATGGTTAGGGTATAAATTTGATAAATAAAAATAAATTTGTAGCACTAACTGCACCTCCCCTTTTAGACTGGGTTTTCTTCTAGCCCTTGCTGGAATATGACAAAAAATATTTTATTTTATTTATTAAATAGAGAAACCGCCCATCTCTCTCACAGAGGGATTCTGGGTGGTATACAAGTAAAATATTAAAATATTGTTTCCCACTCCGTCCCACCAGATGGGACAAAAAAAACCTATCAGTTGTATAATTGGAAAAAGGAATCTACTTTGTTAGTGGCCAATCAAACCCTTTTAATAAAAAGAAAGTGTTTGGGCTTTTTATACTGAAGTATTCTTCAGCCCTTAAGCTCAGATTAATGCTATTTAAAAACTGGCCTCAGGTTTCTAATCATCAGCCAATGTTGTATAGACCAGGGGTCCTCAACCTTGGCCACTTTAAGACTTGTGAACTTCAACTCCCAGAATTTCTCAGCCAGCTTTGCTGGGAGTTGAAGTCCACAAGTCTTAAAGTGGCCACGGCTGAGGACCCCTGGTATAGACAGTCCTCAACTTATGACCAAAATTTCCACTGCAAAGCAAGGCAGTTAACTGAATTTTGTCCCATTTTATGACCTTTCTTTGCCACCGTTGTTAAGCGAATCGCTGCAGTTAAGTGAATCATGGGGACATTAAGCGCATCTGGCAAGATTATAAATGGTGGTCATGTGACCGTGGGACAGGGCAACTCTCATAAACACACACCCTAATTTTGACCACATACATGACCGGGAGATGCTGCAACGGTGCCAAGTGCGAAAAACCATCACGGATCGCTTCCCCTCCCCCCCAGTTCCACTGTAACTTCGAACAGTCACTAAATGAATGGTTGTAAGTCGAGGACTATCTGATTTCCAAGTGGGTTTTTCTTTTTACAGGTATGCATGTTGATCTCTCTCTTCAACCCGAAATGGTATAGGGTTTCCTGCCTGAGCAGAGGGTTGGGCTAGATGACCTCCAAGGTCCCTTCCAACTTTACTACTACTACTACTACTACTACTACTACTACTACTACTACTACTACTACTACTACTACTACTACTACTACTACTATTATTATTAATATTATTAACCTGCCCTCTCTGAAGCAAAACCCGGAAAGGCCACCGGTGGATTCCTAACGTGGCTTCTCCATAAGCAGCAAGGCCACCTATTCCAAACGAGCCGGAAGAATCCCGAATCCACGGCAGGGAAAGGCACTAACCTGAGGCACCTTGTCTACCAGCTTGTACCAGGTCCACTGGATGACAGGAGGGTAAGAATTGCATTTGCAAGTCAGCGTTACTATGTCCCCTTCGGTGGCGTGTTCCATCTTCTTGTAGGCCGTCACGTGGGGGGCAACTGCAGAAGGATATCAGAAAAGCCAGCAGAGGTGATCAGCTCAGAGAGGGGCCGGAGGAGAGGCTGATTAAGCAAACACTCTGGGGCCCATAAACTCATCCATCGTGAAAAAGCCATGGCAGCAGGTGAAAAATATTTGGGTCCTTTCTTGGCAAGGGACAGGGGTAGGCAACCTTGGCTCTTTTATGACTCGTGGACTTCAACTCCCAGAATTCCTGAGTCCACGAGTCATAAAAGTCCACGAGCTAAGGTTGCCTACCCCTGGTCTGGGATTTAGCTCTTGGGGACAGACGTGCACAAGGCTGGGAAAACATAGGGCAGTGATGGCGAACCTTTTAGAGACCGAGTGCCCAAACTGCAACCCAAAACCCACTTATGCATCGTCCAGTGCCGGGTGGGTGTGGCCCATTGGGTGGGCGTGGCTGCGGTAGTAACGGCAGACTGGATGGGACTAAAAAGTTCAATCAATTCTAACTTTGCAAGATCTTTTTTTTCCCCGCGAGAAGTTGAAATTGACTGATTGATCGAACCTTTTTTTTTTTGGGTACACGGTGGCGGAGGCTTTAAGCGAAAAGGTTTTATAAAACCCAGCTGAAGGCCTAGGACTGGGGCGACGGCGCGCGTGCCCACAGAGAGGGCTCTCACTGCCGCCTCTGGCACCCATGCCATAGGTTCGCCACTACTGCTATAGGGAGTTCATTTAGCAAGAGCAAGAGCACTTAAGACTTATATACCACTTCCCAGTGCTTTACTGCCCTCTCTCTAAGTGGTCTACCGAGTCAGCGTATTGCCCACAACAGTCTGGGTCCTCGTTTTACTGACCTCGGAAAGATGGAAAGCTGAGTCAACCTCGAGCCGGTCAGGATCGAACTGCTGGCAGTGGGCAGTGAATTAGCCTGCAATACTGCCTTTTAATCACTGAACCACCGGGGCTCCTTTCTTTCTCAGACTAGAGAGGAAGTTAGGGGAACCAAGGAGCGGTGGCTCGTTCCTCTTGGATTTGACAACAGAAAGTCCTTCTCCTCTATGTAATGGACAGAGAAAAAAGCAGAGGACTGAAGCGTCCACAGGTTGAAGTTACCTTTCACGTACACCGTTCCTCTTGAGACGGGCGTGGTGTTAAAGACGCAGTGGTACTCTCCTGAGGTTTCGTGATCCACTTTGGGGATCCTAGGATTCAAAAACACACACACAAGCTCACACATACAGCAGGAGGTAACAAGTAGAACACACAAAACCATTAGAACAGAAGAATTGGGAATGGATATTGTCAACTACTACTTCACTCAGCAAATGCAAGGGTCATGGAGTAAGAGGATATCAAGGTAATGCTTTAAAAGCTAATCAGCTGATGTAACGTGAGATGTATGATGTAATGATGGGAATGGCTCAGCAGGGTCTGTGTCCCTTTAAGAGCCAGCTGAGTCTGTGTCCCTTTAAGAGCCATTGTATCAAAGGAAGGCTCTGCTGCTGTGTTCTTTTTCTTCTGTTTCCTGCTGTAATTGTGGTTTGTTGGATCCTGCTGTATTACCACGTGTGTGTATATTGTTCCTGGTGTATGATACTGTAGATAGATAAACCACCATTTAATACAAACCACTGTTTACTGTGTTTACTCCTGGGCTATCTTGCATAATAAGACTGTGCACGCTCTGACGGAGGAGCTACATTCCAGCATCATCCAGGAGGAAAAAAAACACTAGGAAAAGCTGGATTAGATTTTCTACCAAAGGGTAGGACACATACCTAAAACTCTGCTGATTAAAACACCTAATTATAATTTTCTGGGACAAGCCTGGAATCTTGAAAGGAAAAGTTGCAGGAAGCCATCACAATAAAACAAGAGAGTAAACAGAATAATTGTGATTGTCCAAGAATCTTCCACATATAGATGAAGCTGAAGAATGCAAATAGCAAATCAATCACTCCTTCTAGGATGGTGTGTCTTGTAAATGCACAGGGGCACTGGCACAAAGATAATCAGATTGGCAAGTTTCTATTGATTGCCTGTCTGGTGGAATACCATGTTTTCCAAGGGATTTCTCTTTGTTTTAATTAAGTCTGATCAGAAATTAACACAAGTAGTCAACGTACAGCCATTCATCGGTTCAAAGTCCTGAAAAATGTGCAACCGGTCCTTGCACTTACGACCAAGGCAAGCTATGTCACCAAAATTTGGTTGCTTGGCACCTGGCTTGTATTTACATTTATAGCCTCCTGGGGTCATGTGCTCCCCATTTACGACCTCCCCAGCCTGCCTTCCCTTAGCTTGAAGACTGCATGACTCACTCAACAACGGTCTTAAATTTGGGCATGACTCATTCAACAGCTGCTCTGCTGAACGACAGAAATTCTGATCTCACTTGTGGCCATAAGTTGAAGACTATATGTGTTATACAGCTACCCTTCTGGCTGTTAAGTGGCTAGCAGAAGTGTATGTCCCTCTTTTCAGTAGAGATAGTCCTCGACTTACGACAACTCAGCCCAAAATTTATGTTGCTAAGTGAAACGTTTGTGAAATGAATCTTGCCCCGTTTTACAACTTTTCTTGCCACAGTTCTTAAGTGCATCACTGCAGCGGTTAAGTTAGTAGTATGGTTATTAAGTGAATCTGGCTCCCCCCATTGATTTTTACATAATAATAATAATAATAATAATAATAATAATAATAATAATAATAATAATAATAATAATAATAATAATAATAATAATAATAATAATAATAATAATATAAATAAAATAAAAAGTTGGAAGGGACTTTGGAGGTCATCTAGTCTAATCCCCTACTGAGGCAGGAAACCCTATACCATTTCAGACAAATGGCTGTCCAGTCTCTTCTTAAAAACTTCCAGTGTTGGAGCATTCAGCGCTTCTGGAAGCAGGTTGTTCCACTGGTTAATTGTTCCAACTGTCAGGAAGTTTCTCCTTAGTTCTAGGTTGCTTCTCTCCTTGACTAGTTTCCATTGTCAGGTCACAAAAAGCTGATCACAGGACCCCGGGACACTGCAACCGTCATAAATATGAGCCAGTGGCCAAGCGTCCGAATTTTGATCACATGACCATGGGAGGCGTGCCGCAACGGTCATTAAGTGTGAAAAATAGACTTGTCACTTTTTTTTCAATGGTACTGTAATTTCAAATGAACTGTTATAAGTCAATGACTACCTCTATATCTTTAAATACTGTGGGCTTTTGCAGTACTTAGGTGGATTAAAACCAGATTAAAAAAGAAAAAAAAAAAACAATTATTTTGCACACTGCGTTTCCCCATTTCTGTGTTACACCTGCCACTAAGTGAGACACTGTTCTCAGGTGAAGGACACCTGCCTATTCCCACCTCCTTTCTAATTTGGAAAGAAGCTAGCACTGCCCAACATTTAATCACCAGAGATTTCTGTGCAGTGACAGTCAGCTAAGAATTAGGCTTTACTGCAGGCAATGGATTTCAGGCTTGTTGTTAAGCTAAAGCGTACAATTCGTTACTCCCTTCCCCACCCTATTAGCAAGATTCTAGGGAGAGGAGGAAGGAGCGGGTTGTTAACTTCTTTAAGTGCTGAGGGCAGAGTATAATCCGATGCATACTTTCTAGGAGATAATCTCCATTCAACCATTTATTTCCCAGTGAAATCAAATGTTTGTTTTGTTTACTGTAAAAAAATGATTCCACTGAACATTGTTAATGTGGGCCAAAGGAGCTGGCTTCCTTATTTTGCATTTGAAGGAAATATTTCATTTGCAGAAGCTGCTGATCTGAGATACATACTTTTTTTTTTTTTAAAAAAAGGGTTTTATCTTGTATTTTCTTTCAGATACAACTCAAGGCGATGGACATACAAATATTTCTTCCTCCTCTTCCTCCTTTCTCCACAACAACCCTGTGAGGTGGGTTGGGATGAGTAAGTGTGACTGGCCCAAAGTCACCAAGCCAGTTTTTCATGCCTAAGGCAGGAGTAGAACTCATTGGCTCCTGGTGATTGGCTCGAAGTCACCCAGTCGGTTTCATGTCTAAGGAGGGACTAGAACTCATTGGCTCCTGGTGATTGGCTCGAAGTCACCCAGTCGGTTTCATGTCTAAGGCGGGACTAGAACTCACTGTCTCCTGGTGATTGGCCCGAAGTCACCCAGTCGGTTTCACGTCTAAGGAGGGACTAGAACTCACTGGTTCCTGGTGATTGGCCCGAAGCCACCCAGTCGGTTTCATGCCTAAGGCAGGACTAGAACTCACTGTCTCCTGCTGATTTATTTATTTATTTATTTATTTATTTAATTTAATTTATATGCCGCCCTTCTCCCGACGGGACTCAGGGCGGCGCACAACATACTTAAAAAGGTTTTGTATATATGTTAGGGGGGGAATTTTGGCTTAATTTGGTTTAAATCTCAACGCAGAAAGTTTAAGGATTTTTTGGGTTATATTTTAGGTGGGATCCAGTCCAGGCGAACGACTTTCTCGGTACAGAACTCCCGCGCTGCCTTCCATTCCTCTAGGCCTTAATAGGCTTAGAGCCCCCCATCAAGCAAGGTGAGGTTCGTTCCAGATTGGCCCAAAGCCACCCAGTCGGTTTCATGTCTAAGGTGGGACTAGAACTCACTGTCTCCTGCTGATTGGCCCAAAGTCACCCAGTCGGTTTCATGCCTAAGGTGGGACTAGAACTCTCAGTCTCCCAGTTTCTAGGCCAGCACCTGAACCATTACACCAAACTGGTTCTGATACTTAACTCACGTATATTTAAAGTCACCTACATGTATGAGGTAAAATCCAGAGTGGTCTTATTGGACTCAAGCGTCTTCTCTCCTTTCATCCAGTAATTGCCTTTGATGGATGTTGGTGGGTCACTTATGTTACATGAAATAATCACGTTGGATCCAGCAGTTACTTCAGGAGAGGTTGAGATTTGGGGCCCTGGTTGTTAAGAAGAAAACGAAACTAGGTTAGGATGTCATGAACATGTCGGCATGTTTTAGCACCTCTGAAAAGAAGTGAAGAACCCTGGGTTTTGACACAAGGCTCGGTCACCTCACCTGCGTGCCTAAGAAAAAGCAGTTGGGTTGCAAGCACACTAATTGCATGTAATCCTCATCATTAAAACCAAGGCTCTGAGGTTTTAACAATGTGGCCAGTTGTATAAAAACAGTGAAACACCATATATAAAACTATCTGGTGGATTTGAAGGGAAAGAGATTAGGAAGCAGAGATAACGGTAATTTCTAAGCAGCACATCACCTTCTAAGCACATCACTATTCTAATGTTAACTAATAACAAATACAACTACCGGAATAAAGAAAATAGTGTATCTATGCATACAGACCCGCTGAATTGTTCAAAACGTTCTGGGTGCTTTATTTGTTATTTTGGAGTAAATGTATTTGCTTTATTTTTTTCCTGCTTAAACACACTGCACATTCTTCTCCTTTCTGAACAATCACCATACAGAAACATCTAGTTCCATTCTCTCTCTCTCTCTCTCTCTCTCTGATTGCAGTAAAGGAATATTTTCATAAAAGGAATATTTTTGATAAAAAACGGCTGTATACAGGTAGTACTCGACTTATGACCACAGTTGAACCCCAAGTTTCCATTGTTAAACAATATAGTTGCTAAGTGAAGGTGACTCTGCTTGTCAGAAGGCTGCAAATGACGATCACGTGAGCCCAGAACACTGCAGGTCATAAATGCATGCCAGTTGCCAAGCATCCAAATTTTGATGAGGGATACAAGCAACGGTCGTGCGACAAATGTCTTATCCCTTTTTTCATCGTCATTGTAACTTCAAATGGTCATTAAATGAATCATTGTAAGCCGAGGGCCGCCTGTAGCTCAAATCTTAAGCCAGGAGCAGAAATTGCACTTAGGGTCTTAAGCCAGTTCAAGAAGAGAAATAAAGGGAGAAATTGGCTGCCTCTGGGTGGGATCGTCCCCAGTTTAAGCCCAGCTCAACCACAGAGACTCTGGAAACGGCAAATTTCCTATAGACTTCTTTGCCTACCCAGGAAAGGCCTGGGCTTAGTGAGAGATACAAGGATTAATAATGGCAGAAGGCAGTGTGCAGAAAGTCCACAACTTGCAAGCACAATGGAGCCCAACATTTCTGCTGCTAAGTAAGTCGCTTGGTTAAGTGAGATTTGCCCTATTTTACAACCTTTCTTGCCACAGTTTCAAGTGAATCACTATAGTTCCGGGGTAAGGCAACCTTGGCTCTTTTATGACTCATGGACTTCAACTTCCTGGCTGGCTCAGGAATTCTGGGAGTTGAAGTCCATGAGTCATAAAAGAGCCAAGGTTGCCTACCCCTGCATATAGTTCTTAAATTAGTAACACAATTGCTATGTCAATCTGGCTTCTCCGTTGACTTTGCTTGTCAGAAGATCTCAAACGGAGACACGGCGACCATCATAAATAGGAACCAGTTGCTAAGCGCGTGAATTTTGATCACAGGATCGTGGGGATGCTGCGATGGCCGTTAAGTGTGATAAATGGTCATAAGTCACTTTTTTCAGTGCCGTTGTTAACTCTGAACGGTCCCTAAATGAACTGTTGTAAGTCGAAGACTACCTGTATTAGCCCTCACCTGCCATGAAGAAGGATTTCTCACCTGGTGAGGAATAAGGTCAGTCACAGACAAAGTCACAATGGTCATAGCTAGTTTCTTGGCGTTTCTTTGAGAAAGAAACAATGGGACGAATGCACCCCCAGTTCGTATGCACAGAATAACCAAGACCAGGGGTAGGCAACCTTGGCTCTTTTATAACTCGTGGACTTCAACTCCCAGAATTCCTGAGCCAGCATGGCTCAGCTTGGAAACTCTCTCTTTCCCCTCAGCGTGGCTGGCTCAGGAATTCTGGGAGTTGAAGTCCACCAGTCATAAAAGAGCCAAGGTTGCCTAGCCCTGCCCAAGAGGAATATGTGGCTATTTTCATGCTTTGTTTCTTTTGGATTTCAATAAATTAATGACCCTCCCCTGAACTGCAGGGAGACAGAATGAAATGTAGTGGGTGTGCAACTTACACCCCCCCCCAAAAAAAAGGGCACTGAGCTTTCACTTCACCCTCTAAACAAAGATTTTGAGCACTGAAAGAAGTTTATCCAAGCCAACCATCATATTTAATCACCATTTTCATTTCAAGAGAAATACTGCTACGAATATTTTCCCCGCCAATTCATCCAATGCAGCCATTTCCCATCAGACTGGGTATAAGATAAAACACACACCTGAGACATGCCCTCCTAAAGATGTTTCCATTTATCAAGAATCATTTTGTTTTTTTAAATGAGCCATGGATAGAACAGCCATTTGCAAACTTCCTTCAGTTAAGGAACAATTTCTCGCAGGGAGACACCGTGAACGTCTACCAGGGAAGCTGGTCTACTGCAGAGGTTTTGAAGCATATTCTATGCAGCATGGACCTAGTTCATATGTTGCGTTGGCTAGGCTGGCCGGGCTGCAACGTCGCCTCATATGAACCCAGGAGATCTTAGCCTTGGGAATGGGAAAGTCATTCCTGATCTCATGAAGGAATCCTTGATCAAGCTTTCAAGAGGCTTCGGGAGAATTTGAAAGCCAAGAGTGAAAACGTATAAAATGCGTATAAATCCAAAACTGAAGCCCATAAATGCAAGTTTAACATTTTAGCCATTAGCCCAGGGGGTCCTCAAACTTGGCCACTTTTAAGACTTGTGGACTTCAACTCCCAGAATTCTTGTGGACTTCAACTCCCAGCATTCCCCAGCCAGCGATGCATGGCTGGCTGGGGAATTCTGGGCGTTGAAGTCCACAAGTCTTAAAGTGGCCAGATTTGAGGACCCCTGCGTTAGCCGCATCGTGGGTTATTTTATTTTTTTTCCTGTTAAAAAATTTGACTTGCAGCTCTGCGTATGGAAGGACAGCCGACTGGTCATTCCACAGCCAAGGAGAATTAAGCATATGACCCTAGGTGGCAAAGAGGAAGTTTGGCCATCTCAGAAACGGTTGCCATTACAACAAGCACAAATACTGTTTGGATTCGCCCCACGGAAAATTGTGCTCCTTGTAAAGCGGGAAAGCAAAAATAAAAAAAAAAAAAAGCAAGCACAACCACACAGATGCAGGAAGAAATATCAGAGCAGGAAGAGGAGGAAGAAGAGGAGGAGAAAAACTAGGTTTGGAAACGACCAGTGGAAGCAGCGCCAAGGCAACGTTGTTCTGTTTCTAATGGGAGCATCGGGGCGAGAGAAGCAGCACTGCAACGGATCCCCAAAGGGCAGGATCATTTGAACGGAGAGGTGTGTTTGAGCAAGGCTACAGCAGATCCCTGTGGGATTCACGAGGGTTAGGGAACGGAGGTGCCTAGAAGGGTCGTGGGAAGCCACGGGACACGGGGTGGAAGGAGAGGCGGGCGCAGGGACGGGAACGTTGGAGACATTTCGGCGTCCGCGGGAACACCAACACTCAGGTCTGCCGCCACTCACGCTTAGTGACAATGACATTTGCCTGGGAGCGGATCCACTTGATTTTGGGGCTCTTCGACAAGTGATTACGATCGGGGTCGTTGCTGGCCCAGCATTCGTACGTGCCAGAGTCTTCAATCCCCAGGTCAGTGATGGCGATAGTGCTGGAGGAGTGGTGCTGGTAGGTCGCGCTGATTTGGACCCGGTCCTGCCAGGCGCCATCCCACAGCTGTGTGGCGGTTTCACTGGGATCTGCTCCTTCAAACCACCACTGGATTTCGGGGATGGGGCTGCCAATAGCCTCACAGTGCAGTTCCACACTTTCCTCTGTCAGTTTCTTTTGAGAGAGAGGTGACTTTATAAAGCCAGCTATGAGTTGAAGAGGCATTAGTAACAAAGGGTTAGTGCAAAAAAAGAAAGAAAGAAAGAACAAAAAGTGCATTCGAAAAAGAAAGATATTTCTGATTTTTAAAAAGGGATAATAGTAACTCACAGAGCTATATACCAATTTTTTAATTGGTTGCTTATATTGCAAGAAACAGAAACAGAAATGAAAGCAGCAAAACCTGGGAAGCTTCTCCTGCCTTGGTGGATGGCTGAGGATGGACAAGTTTCTAAGAAAAAAGCGATATTAATATGTCCCATCCATATTCTTTGCCTATCATTTCATTCCATACAGCATTAACCTTGTGAACTCTCAAGCTTCCTCCTTCCGTTATATATTCAAGATGGACAGTATTTAATATTTGTTATGTATATGTAGGGGTGTGGGTCTATACATACGTTGTATATAGTATGTTTAGGTATGTGTCATGTATGTATTTCACTTTGAGAGCGGGCAACTAAATTTCATATTTTTGACGTGTGCCGTTGTGCCCACAGTAAAAAAATGACAATAAAGGTTATCTTATCTTATCTCTTATTTTATCTATACTCAGACTAAGATTTTTCCTTTTTTTCTTTCTTTAAGAGGTGAAGCAGAGCTCATTTACTCTTTGTTATTTAACTTTCATACTATGGAGGCTGCAATACTAATGTAGCTTACTTAAAAAGCAATATTGAATGTTTCCCAAACAACAGTTCAATCTCTGTTGTATCGTCGTGTCCTAAAGCAATTTGCAAATTGGGACCCTAAAAAAATTCACAGGCCATTACGGAGCGCTCCAAAGAACCTTGTACACACGGAAAAGGCACGACCCAACCTCTTATTCATATGTTTGTAAGGCCATTAAAGCATGATCAAAAAAGATACATTTGCTAGTCTTCATGAGTTTTTTCAAAGCATTATCTTTCCATACCGGAGACTGCTTTCAGCAATAGATTTGTAAGGAAGTCCTGGGACTGAGTATTTTGCCCCCAGCGCAACACCTGCACAAAACAGTTTCTCAATTCTAATTTCAGATATAATTATTGTGAGTATTGATGATGTGCAGATATATCATTACTGACACATTACTTGTTTACACCTTTGCTTCAA